CAATGCACTGCTTTTGAGAGCCAGTGCAATACAATTATAATGCTTGCACTAGAGAGACCCAAGTTCGTTCATCTTCACGTTCAGCTATGGAGATCATTGGGTGGCTATGAGCAGTAATTTTCTCTCACCCTGACCTACTCACAGGGCTATCCTTTTATATGCCACCTTGAATTCCTAAGGGAAAGATGAGATACAAATATAGCAAGTAAGGAAATAAATAGATAAGTCTTTTTTCTTAAATCTTATGAATTGTTACACACGTAATTCCCAAATTCATTTCCTTGAGGACTGGTCTGTAAAATGTAATGGTGACTGATAGACTGCTGTCAGGTGGCATCTTTGTCAGTATATGTCGATATCAGGATATTTTTAAAAATTCTTAATAATTCTTTACCCAAGTGCAGTATTCATCTGAATACTCTGCAAGATAAAGAGCAACTCCGTAAGATTTTTTATCTTTATCATCAAGCACAGACTGCAAAATTTCCATTATTAAAACTCCTGTTCAGTGTCAAAGATTGATGAAAGATTAAATCCTGCAATGCAGTTGGTATGATTTAAAGGGCAGATTGTGAGGAACGAAAAGAGAGATTTTAAAGTTGTACTATTTGATCAGAAATAAACAATTTGTACAATTTCTGGTAACTTCTACTGGACCTTTCATTAAAGCAGCATTGAAAAGATGAATATTTATGGGTTTCACATACAGTAGATAAAAGTTAGGCTATGGGAAGAAAAGGTCTGTTATTTGTAATTATAAAATGGGTTAAAAGTTACTATATTAGCTTATGCTTGGTATGCTGAAGATTGGATGCTACATCTTTATCATTGTCTTTACTTTTCACTTTTCCCCCTGCACCTGAATTCCCTTGAATTTTTCTTTTTCCTTGTGGTTTATTTTGGATTTGTCTTTACGGTGGACACTAAAAATTTTATTACAACCATTTAAAATAATTACCTATTTATCCTCGTTATGACAGAGAGGCAGGGTATGTATTTTTAAAATTCACTGGAAATAGCACCCTCTATATAGTAAAATATTACAAACTAACAAAGACCCTTTTGTATAAGGAGACATGAAAAAAAATGCACCTTTGTTATCATGGGTACTGTGAAAACTAAGATTAGGAGAGATTGAAGTGAGCTAAACAACACCTTTGCATCTTTCCTTTATCTCAGAAAAGTGTCTGTCAAATTGGGAGAAGATTAAGGAGCTTAACAAGCCCAGTTGAAAGAGGCAGAGCAGATGGTAACCAACTTTTGAAAAAAATGAATGTTAGAGAGAGAAGGAAGCAAAAACTTTAAAAGAGAACAAGGGACAAGGACAAAGCTGTGAGTCAAATAGACTAGCACAGCACTAAAGACTACAAATTATGATCCAGCAGTAAATACTTGTTGTATCCTATCTTTTGAGCCACTGCCATGTTTAGCCAAACATGATTAGCTAAAGATTAATATATAACCTTCTGGTCTCTTCTTAGCTTCCTTTTATCTCTTCCGTCCTTCCTGCTGATCATGGAAATTAGATGTCAACAAGAATGTAAGAGATAAAGCTTCGTTATAAAAGCTGTGGGTGGGTGGTGGTTTTTTGTAATATGAAAAACTGTCAAATCTGACATTGTCATCCCTGTAGTTTACTTTGAAACACCTAACCTAGGCTTGTTGTTTTAGCAGTGTTGGAAGTCTGAAGTAGAATTGATGATAAATTGAATAAACAAGATATTTTAAGGCTTGTTTAAGTGCTGAATAAATTTCTGTTGCAGAGAAACAGGATAGTATCTTTTTAATGAAAGTGGGGGGTAACCAAGGAATTAAAAATAAAACAGGGGAATAAGTTTAGTTAGTGACATTATTGTAAGAAAAACTCTTAAAATATTGTAAGAGATACTTCCATACTTTACCAAAAAGTTTGGGTATTAGCCAGAAGTTGTCCCTGTCTGTCAACCAATGAAGTTTACTTAAAACTAGGCCTTGGTGATCTAACACTTGAATAATTTACTATCATAAAATAGTTTAAAGTACAAATGTTTTATGCTCTGCCAAGCTGGACGCTAAGGATGTTTTGTCTAAAACATGAGATAATGGAAAGTGTATTGTGGCATGTGAATGACTTTAGCCTTTTGGTGGTAAATGTTTGCTTAACCAGAAAAGAATGTGTGGAGATTCTTGCCAAGGTACTGCCGTTCTTTGTATTAAAGTACTGTAAATAAATCAGCAGATATGTTTCTCCTCATATGCTGTTCCAAATGTTATGAAAGCACTCTTTGAATTTAAAATACTCGTATTCTTTTTTTTTAAATGGGTTTAGGAAGAACTGGTCATAATTACTTGAGGTAAAAAAACAAAAACAAATTATTTTCATGATGATTGAAGTTGGAGTGAAAGGAAGTAACTCTTGCATAAAGTTCTTTCTTTCCAAACCAAGAAATGCAAGTTGCATTACTGTATTTTAATTGAATTTGGACCATTAAACTATAACCCTGTGAAGTTTATCAAAAATATTAACATGTGCCCTGTAGTTATTGCTAAGGAATTCGAAAGCAGAAACAGTCTATACAAATCCAGATTAGGATAATTGCATATTTGACATTGAAAGGGACAACCTGCTGCCTTCTGGATCCCTCAGACTCCCTGATTCCGCAATAGTTTTAAGAGCATGGTAATCATTTAATAATTATAATTTCATTTAGGAATTTATGTCTGTTCGTTTGGCATTTGGGGCATTGGCATTCTCATTATTTTCCTATGAAAAGCTTATTCTGAAGTGTAGTACCATATACATCCATAATTGTAAAAAAAAAGTGGCTAAATACAAATTATTACAGTTATTTACAAATATTCTATTGTTTACTTATTGCTGTGAATGCATCATGGAGGGGGTGGGTGGGAGGAAAGGTATCTGGTATATACAATTGGTGTTAGACCCAAGTCATTTGGGTAATTCTAAAAATATGAGTAAATGGAATTTTTCTTTGAGGAATTCAGTTTGCAGTTGTTGGTATGGGGAGTTCAGGATTAAACTAAATTACTTTATTGCTTTATTGCAATTTGAATTCTGCTTCCAAAACAACCATTAATTCTTCCCAACACTTAATTGTACATTAATTAAACTTTCAAAGTTTGGTGCATGGAGTATTTTGCTGAATATTGCTAGATCATTATTGGGAAACTAAAAGAGCAATTTATTACTGAGATAATTCTTTGATCTTCTTTCTGCTTCTTTAATGGTATACTACATGATCCCATCTATCACTAGAAAATCTAGTGAGATAAAGTGATAATAAAACCTTTTCAAAAGATGCTTTCAGTTATATGGCCTAACCATACAACTTTTTTAAAGGTAGTAATATTCATTTTGCTTCGATACTAAAGGGATTAGATGTAACAGAATCAGTAATTTTTCTTATTTGGTGGGCTGTTAGATCCGATAATCTGCCAATAATGGTGAGCTATTAGATTCAATAACCTCTAGAAATGAAATGAAATTACATAAATGGGGTGTCTTTAAATTGAAAATTGGATTAAAAACCCCTGTGATACAACTTCCTGCACAGCAAAAGAGTAAGATAAGGTAAAACTACTGTGTCATTTTTCTATTTGCAAAGAGTTGTGGGAGGGGTACTTGTAATCCTACCTAGCATCATTCATAGTGAGAAATGTATCAGTTTTATTTGTGTTCCACCTGTGCGTGTTCAGTTCATACTTACATGTCTGTCTATCTTTGCTTTCATTACAATTCACGTTACATAAACGATTAACAAATAGGCACTTCAATGTATCTGTTTGGTGCATTCTAGCACTAACAGTTCCCGCATCAAATTATAATAGAAGACTTTAATTTGTGTTCCATGTGGAAATATACATGTAGGAGGAAAAATCTCAAGCATTTTGTATATTTCTCCCTTCTAACATTACTAACATTTTATCATTTTTATTTCTGTTGCTGCTTATAATTTTAGCATGTTGTAACTTACCCAGAGCCTTCTAAATTAGGCAGCCTATAAAATCTGTAAAACAAAATGAATAAATAAATGTTCTGTATTTAAAAATGGCTAAATTATTAGTTATGTCAGCTATTTAATCATGTTAATGTGGGTATATGCTTTTCTATGCATGCAGATTGATTTTATTCCTGCCCTGAACAGCGGGATTGGACTTGAGCATTTAAATTACTCTTTCCAATTTTTTGTTTCAAACAAAAACTTAATATGGAACATGTCTACATTTTTGTCAGAAAGAAATGGCCTACTGTTTCAAGATATTGTCATCTAAGTGAGTTGAAATTTGGCAAGAATTATAATAAAAATGCTAAAAATATTCTTGCTATTGGAAAAATCCTAAAAAATTTGTAGACATTTTTCAAAATTTAAATCCATTGATTAAGGCTTCATGGCCTGAAAATCTGAAATGTGATACAGTACATATTTAATCAAAGGCATTCTCTTTACTAAAGACATGTTAAATAAAATAGTTGTAACTCTCCCTCCCTCCTCCCCCCTTTCTCTCAGAGAATGCTACATAGCTAAGTTATTTCAACATCATAAGCAAAGCCCAAATTAGGTATTCCTGTAGCTGGAAAAGGAAAAAAAAGAACATATGATGGAACATCCTAAAAATGGACTATTTTTAAAGGCTAACAATATGGAATTGCACATTGCAACAGAATGTTGAGCTGTAAGAGATGTATTATTACCTCATATATTTGAATAAATTTTAGGGATTTTCCATTGATAGTTTGAAATTCACGTCTCTGTTTACAATAGAAGGTGGATTAGCACTGCATTAAAATATGTCTTGGAAAGTGACTCACCAAAGTACTAAAATATTTTCACATGTCCTAGAAAGCTGAAGTTTGATCAGCAAACCTGTCAACTTTTTTTAAGGCTAACATCTGATGAGAGCAAGTGAATATTTGTTCCTGAAAAAAATATCATATTGTTTATGTTGGAATAATCAAATCTCTGTATAATACTTATTATGCTTATTATTCTTTCCAAAAGATATCAAGAATTGGATGCCAATAAAAGCCTTCTAGACAATTTGAAAGGGAAGGTTGTCATTGAATATCCAACTCTGCATGTGGTATTGCGGAAATTCACAACAGATATGGTGATTCTCGGCCAGAATGTAAACAAAGGTATTCGTTGTATATTCTAAATAATATTTGATGCAGTGAATAAACATGTACTTAGGTAGTGGTCTATGAATAGTTGTTTCAAAACAACAACAACAATAATATACAGCAAATATATGATTGGCACAGATGTTTATCTTTATAGTTAAATTTCATGTAACTTAATTGTTGCAGCTCTGATTTCTAACTAATTGAATTTTATAGGATAGATACCCTACAAATATTCCTCCAGATAATGCTCTAGTGTAGCACGTGTTTTAATGTCTGCAGTTTTCCAGAACAAATGACCCTTAGTTGGAAGTCTATGTATTACACAGAGCTTCAAATGTTCAAATTATGTCTGGGTATAAATTCTGCTTTGTGTAGGATGAAACCATTAAAATCCAGTTGAGAAGCCGGGATCCCTTCAGGGGCTATTAAACTTTAATTCTTAGGGATGCTTATAACAGTTAAGCAATTACTAAAAAGCCTTGCCCATTAGTTTTTTAAATAAAAGTTGAAAACTAGAATCAGTGTGATAGAATGAATAAAGTATATATACTCTCTGACATCCTGTCACATGATCTCTCAGACATATAAACTGCATTAGTTGTATAATATGAGGCTGAGAAAGACCTGGGGGATGAAAAATGATGTTTTTTTATACACAGGAGGAAAGTTGACATGAGCAAGAAGGGGGTGGGAAGTTACTAGTGTGTTCTATGATGACTTGGAGCACTATATATATATATAGTGCTCCAGGTCATCATAGAACACAGTTTGGGAATCATAGGGCTAGGACACAAAGAAATAGACAGTCTTGAGCTGCTGAAGAGTTATATGTTCCAAGGTGCCTGAAGAGCACCAAAAGAAGATCAGAAAATTGAATTTGAATTTGATAGAATTGAGTAAATTTTATGGGTTTTCTGTTGGTTGCCTTAAATACACTTCTGTCTTTATGGAATATTATTATGCAAAGAAAGAGAATGATACAGCATAGGATCTATCTAACTGGCACAGATATCCAGAGAGAGAAGAGGATGTAAAGGCACTAAAAAGATAAAGGTTATGCTATATGTGAGAGATTTCCAGTAAGTTTTAAGCATAGTTCTTGATTAACTGAAGAATTTAGCAGCAAACATATTTTAGGGGAAGCTCACTCATTTCAACAGCAATGTTACTGTTGCCAGCATATGGTGAATCTCTGAATTCTCATAAATTATTTGACAGCAGAAGGCAGAAGAAAAGGGAGAGTTAAATTTTGTTTGCACGCTGAACCCCATTTGTATTGCTATCCAGCTGAAAGAATAAATTTTACAGAAAAACCAATCTTTCTATTCTTGATACACCCTACATTTTTTTTAAACTGACTCAGTTCAGGAAAAGAGCCCTTGTATGCTTTTCTTATCTGATCATTTCTGATGCATAGTTATTTCTCTACATTTCTGATGTATAGTTATTAAGGTATTTCTTAGTAGAATTATACAGATGTTGTTGACATTTTAGTTTTTATTCTGTTTCTCAGTGTTCATTATTGCCTGTAAGTTTTCCATTAGTTCTGTTTCAGTAAAATAAGTAGTTCTTACTAGGGGGTGTGGATTCCTCTCTGTATGTAAAATTATTTGACCTTTGAGTAAGAGTTAATAATGCTATGAAAGGAGAATTGGGGTAAGCTGGAATGCACATGGAGCCGGGTGATGAGCACATCAGGAAATGAGTGATCACACTATGACATCAACAGCCAGGCATTAGGCAGTCCTGATTACAATATCTTTGGCTCCTATTCCACAGCATTATGTTGAAATATTGAAATGTGCAGAAATATCAGGACTCAACAGTTTTCTGTATGAATTAGAGATCTAAGAAAATCCTTAATGCAATACCACCTGACAAAATTATTTTATTAGCTGTTAGAACTGAAAAAATGCCTGTGTTGCTTTCTTAATACTTGCAGTAAAACATAGTCATGCCATAATTTCTGATTTCTGTCCCTTTTTGCCACAAAGGTGTTGCCCTCAATGGAAGGCAAAGCCTGAATTTCAGATGACCTCTTAAGGAAAAATAACAAAGTAATTCTGCGCAAAGTTCCTAACTTGGCAGGCCAAACATTTTTATTTCAGCTGAAACCTCAAATGGAGATTTCCCTCAGTCATAAACCTGTGGAAGTGATTCTCTCATTATATGTTTGTACCTATTTGTATGTACGTCCATCTGTCAGAAATGAGAGGAACACTTTTATGTTGAGCAACACAAGATAACATTTTTCAAGACAATTGCAAATCTTCAGTCACATTCATAATTATTGCTGATGTGTGTGTGTGTTAATGTTTCTATCAGATAATACTTCACATTTTAAATCTACCTTTTTGTTATTCTAAAAGACAAGGCAGTGTGCAACATCCTGGGTTTCTGATGAAGCACGCTCTTAGATATTGAGATGCCTCATAGCAGATAACCCATATCTCATTGGTCCTGTTACAGAAGAGGTATTCAGCAGGTTCTGACCAATTCTGGAGAATTTCTGGTAGCGGAAATTTTGAGTAGTTCAGAGAACCGGAAAGTACCACCTCTGACTGGCCCCGCCCCCATCTATTCTCTGCCTCCCGAGTCCCAGCTGATTGGCTGGGTCTTCTTTTGTTGCCCTACATAGAAGAACAGAGCTGGAAATCAGATTCAGCCCCAATGGGGTTGGTAGGGAATGGGATTTTGCAGTATCCTTCCCCTGCCATGCCCACCAAGCCACACCACGCCCACCAAGCCACGCCCACAGAACCGGTAGTAAAAAAAAATTAAATCCCACCACCGACCTATTGGAACAGAAACACTGTCAACTCATAAACTATTTCTATGGTCATTTTAGAGTTGCCAACAGAAAGGGAGGGGAGAAAGGGGTTTGAAAGAGCAGTGTGGAAGCTTGGAAATCGGAAGTGCATTCCATAAATAATTTTTCAGAGATAGTAACTACGTGACTAAAGTTTCTGCCATGCAAAAATCTAACTGGAGAACATGATTGATGACTCTTAGCTATGGATGTGTCTCATTGGAGAATATGAATTATGATACACTCAGGGGGTGGGGGAAAATCAGGGTCAAGGGTGACAATGAATTATGTGTCTCAGAGTCGGCTACACCCAAGCAGTGCCAGGCAACATGTTAACTCCCAATAAATCCTTTCAAGTTTTGGAAGTTTGGCTCAAGACTCATAATTTAATTGGGGTAACTGCCGGAATCCTGGCAGACATTATTTTTCCTTTCCTGATTTCCCAGCTGAGAGTTCCTACGTCATATGTTAATAGTTCCTTTAGGAGAAGCTTAAAGGGCATTTGTTCCATTTTCATATTTCTTTATTTGATTATAGAAATAATTTTACCAGCAAAATAAAGAGGGCGGGAAATAGGAATGGGAGAATGGAAAAATCTCTTTTTTCCATGCCCCAAAGATATTCTTTAGATCTTCTATTTAGACGACAGGGATCAGTCCTCAGTTCACGTTTGACTTCAAGACAAGTCATCATAGTGATACTGGGATGAGGATGAGGTTGATAATGATGCCACCAAAACTTGTTGTGGAACAATCCCACAGAAGGTAGGAATTTTTTTTCCTGTGCAAGAAACCGAAAAGAATGGAATCTCTTTATAGCTTAAAAGCTTTTGTCATCATTTTTGCTTTGAAAGTCTGTCTTTACCTACAGTCCCACTAAATTACTCTTTAGACAAAGAAACGGGGAAAGCACTGCCGGTTTTGACTTCTGGATTTTTAAAACTTCTGTATAATAGCTCTCCTTTGAGTGACATGACTAGGAGGAAAAAAGGGGGGGGGGGCGTTTAGAAGGAAGGAATTGGCAACATTCCAAGATGCTGCCCCCCTTTTTTATCCCATAGGACTGCATTAGGGGATTGTTTTGTTTGGTTTTGTTTCCTCAGCACTTGGACAGATCTGGCTCATTTTCAACTCAGTCTTTCTTTTGGATAATTCTGCCCCCAGACCAAGTTTCTGTTCAGTTTTCAAAAGGCTTTCTTGCTGAGGGGCAGAGTCCTGAGCCCCTTTACATAATGGCTCTCTATCACTCTTTAGGTTAGGAAAAAAAATAAAAGGAAAAGGAAAGGCATGCTCAGAAAGTTTCTACTCCGCCACTATCCTGGCCAATTTTGTTTTCACAGTAGACATCCTTCCCCTTAAAGTAGATAAAGGAATAGAGTATCTGATTATGTGGTGAAGTGCATAATTTAAGCTAATTATTTGAAATGCTCCATTTTCTCTAAACACTTCTAAAAAGCCTTCTTAATGGAAACAAAACATGAGAAAATGTACCTGCAGACTTTCTTAGAAAGAGAAAGAACTCTTTTTTTCCCTTTTTCAAGACTTATTTAAGATTAGCGTGGAAGCTGAAGCTTCCATCAGATTTTGGAAACAATTATTCAGCTGTTCCATAAATTGGTCCCCATCTTAGAAAAAGAAAGGGGAAGGTTTCTATTTTTACAGTATCTGTGAATAATGTATCATTCTGATAATGGGCCTTTTTATGCCTTGATTGTTAGAAACTCAGAATGAGGAAAAATAATTTTGTTCTGCTGCAAATAATTGACACAATATCATAAAGACTTACCTTCATATTCACATCAAATTTATTTAGGTATTTTTCAGGTTCTCCATTTTAACTACAGGTGGTCCTTGAATTACAATCATTCATTTACTCAGAGTTCCAAAATTGTAACAGCGCTGAAAAAAGTAACATGTAACTGTTTTTCAGATTTAACAATTGTTGAAGCACCCCCATGATCACATAATCTAAGTTCAGATGCTTGCAACTAGCATGTATTTATGATGGTTACAGTGTCCAGGATCATGTGGTCACCTTTTGAGACCTTCTACAAGCAAAGTCAATGGGGAAGCCAGATTCTCTTTAACAAATGCAGTGATTCACTTAGCAACTGTGGCTAGAAAAGTTGTAAAATGAGGCAAAACTCACTTACCAACTGTCTTGATTAGCATACATTTTGGGCTCATTTGTGGTCCTAAGTCAAGGACTACCTGTATGCAACTATAGCCTAGATCCTTTGATTCTGTCTTTCAAAGATTTTGTTTCTACATCAATAATACAATACAGAGCAGGGTCCACTACTGTGTTGAGAGAAGGGAAATCAGAATTTCTAAATCTCTTGAAACAAGTGCATAATTTATACATGCCTCACTGCAAGAAGAATCAGGAAATCATGTAAATAGAGAGCAGAATTGATTCTAATTGGGCCATGAAAACCAAAATGCTTATCTTTCTTGAACTAGATAAATATTTTAAAGCCACTTAGATCAGGTCTTCCCCATCAAGATTTTTTTTGTATTCCAAGGCTTCTATAGTTAAACCACTTTGAAATTAGGCAAGGTAGTTAATAAAATCATTGCCAGAAGTGATATATTCTTTATTTCCAGGTATTTTTCTGCCAGTAGAATATACAGAAAGAAAAGAAAAGTGCTCCTGAGGTAATATCAGATCAACATATAATCTCTTTCAGCAAGCCTTCAAATCTCCCATTTTTTTGAGCAAACAGAACTCTAGGAGATTAAATAGACAAGTATCGGTCTCGAATGAATGAAAGGTCATTTTCTGAATAATGATCCAGATCACCCTTCCATCTGGGGCTAACATTGAAATTCAATGTGATTCTGAAATTCCAATCATTAGGATTCACATCACAGAAGTTTTTGACATTAAAGCCTGAGCTCAGACACTAAATATCAGATTATCAGAATAAATTGCAGGAAAAGGAAATATCAGGTTTTCTCTGGCATAGTAATCGTATTTAGTCTTTGTCCTAAATGTTATAACTATATCTCACAGAACTTTTGCCCATACCGTTCCAGCATACAAAATACTATGAGAGGGGAAGAATCATCTTGGATGAAACAGTAATTAATAATAATTTTAGAACTTAAAACAAATAATAAAAGGAATGCTGATCTTTATCAAAATAGATATCCTTTTCATGAAGCCTGACCAAGCCCACTACTTTGGTATTATTACTTTCTGGCAGTTCCATTGCCAGAAGCATTCTGACCCATAGAGTAAAGGATAAGTGAGTCCCTAGAAATCAGCTCTTAAGGAACTGCTGTCAATAATTAGGGGCATTTGTTTGGTGCAGATTTGATTTTAGGTTGGGATTGACATATATCTATATACTGCTAAAACTCTTTGACAATTTCCAATTGAGCAAAAGAGTGCATCATAGGGTAACAATTTTTGGACCAAGGTACTTTAAGTGGCTAGCTTTTAGAATGGGTCTAAAATTTGGAACTCGGTACTCCCCTGAGATTGAAATTTTTTAAAAGTTGTGGTGGCTTCCCACAAGTCAGAGCAAGAAATGTGATTGTCATTTCCAAATTACCTGACAGTATTCCACAATTCATTGGGGAAGCCAGCAGTCTAAACTCAGTTGTGATCGCTGGTGTCCCTGCAAGCTTCCCAAAAGCCTGAGAAGTGTAGCGAGGGTGCAACACAGGTTGGAGAAGTGCGTGAAGATGTCCTGTGGGTCAGGATAGTGCATGAAAATGTATGAGTGGCCAGCATGAATGTAGGGGGACTGGGGAATGGTGTACAGGTCGGGGATACTTTACCCAAGCAATTTGTAACCTCTGCAGTTTCCTCATTGACTTCCTATCTGCAAGTTTTCCACAAGCAAAATCAGTGGGGAAGACTGCAAGAAATTGCAAGTCTAAAGCCAGTAGGCAAGTACTGTAAGTGGCTACTGCCAGTGGAGTGAACAAGGGAGTGCACAAGAAGTGTGGCAGTGATTGGGGAGGGTGTGCAAGGGGTAGAATCATGGAGAATACCTGTGAAGTGTGGCAAGGATGCGACATAGATGGGGAGAGGGGATAGGGCAGGGAGGGAATACAAGGATGTTGCATGGGATTGTGTGACTGAGCAGAGGGGCTAGTGTACAATGATTATTTAGCTGAAACAAAGGCCCAAATGGGTTGTCTAGTTCATTCTGTTTTTTCCTCTGTTCCCCATTTTATTATTTTTGAGATATTAGCATGCTCCCCTAGATTAAAGATTTGAAATTATCTTAATTGATCAGAGGATAACAGAACTTTTTTTTTTTTTTACTGTTAGCAATGTTTGTACAGGTAGTACTCATTTAGCAAACACAATTTGGAACAAGCATTTCAGCCAGTCCTTGAGTATTAAAGATTTGTCTTTAAATGAATCCAAACTCCAGCTCCTCTTTAGGACAATGATGGTTTATTCAATATAGCATCAAACAACAAATACTCTAATCAGGCAAGAATGGCTAAAAGTCAGGCAAGGTTAGAGTTGGGTTTGAGTTTGCTCCCTTTTATCACCATTATCATGGGACATACCCCACCACACCCAGGCCTATACGCAGTTCTAATTCTGGCCATGCCTAACCCATTATCCCTAAATGCTATTAATCCTATAATATGTCTACATCCCTACCCTATTCCGACCATCACTAACTGACCCCCACCTGGTGCCATGTTCACCATGTTTTAACCAAAGTCCTAATTACCTAATTACTATATGTGCCCCAACCCACTTTAACAATATGCACCACATCAATACATGAAAAGAGCCAGTTCCAGCAGCCCCGCAGTTGTTGCAGAATCCATCCTCAGCTCTGCTGAGTCATTCCAAAGCCATCGGCCAGCAGAAATACAGATCTGGCAACAGCAGAGATAAGATGACATGGCCAGCTGACTTACTGCGAGGCATATTCGGAACTGACGGGCTCTGGGTGAACTCGGAGCCTGACAAAGCAACTCAGTGGTTAAGTGAAGTGAAACAGCAACTGTGCTTGTGAAACGCTAAGTGAAACAGCAACTGTGCTTATTATCTTACTTCAGCTTTCCTTTGTTTTACAGACCTGGGAAGGGCTTATATGTAAGGATAGGTACCAAAGTTACTTTTTCATCACCATCATTACTTTGAAGAGTTGTTGTACAAGGCAAATGAGGGCTATCTGTATTATATTGAGGACTATAATTTTATAGCAAATCCAGAATTTCTGCAACTCATTTACTCAGCTATTTATCAATATTGGTGTGTTTATAGATAGGCACATTAGTGGCAGATGCAACGAGATTGAGTAAATAGCAAAAAATGTATAAATATATTTCTTTTTCCCCTGTAGAAATCAATAAATCTAACGAAGACATGATCAAGGAAAATTCTTCTTCTGAAGAAGGAGAAATCCATGATAGCTCCTGAAGATATCAGTGGACTACAGATTGGAGTACTTTATATTACACATCATTTTGAGGACATATTCCGCAAATATATTCGTTTTGAATGTTATTTTTATATTAAAAATTCAAAATCACTAAAAAACAGTACAGACTGAACATTCAATAAAGATTAAAGGATCAACTATACAATAGAATTTTATAGAATTTGCAAGCTTGCTTTATTTTCGCTTCTTGACCTGAGTTAGTGTAAATATTTGTTGTATATTCATGTCCCTAACCAAAATAGCTTCAAGAGTACCTTGTAGATCTGTGATGGCAAACTATGGCACATGTGCCACAGGTGGCACGCAGAGCCCTCTCTGTGGGCATGCACACCATCACCAGCTGCTCTTATAGTTTCTGGCCAGTTGGCTTTCGTGGGCACTGGAGCACCAGAGAACAGCCTGAAAATCAGCCAAAGAACAGGCTGTTTTTTTAGTTGTTTTGGGGCCTTTTTCGAGCCATTTTTGGGGGCCGAAAATGCCCAGAAAATGACTCTAAAAAATGGCCAAAACAGGCTGTTTTCCAGGCTGGTTTGGGCCTGAAAAAATTGCCTGAAAATGGCCAAAAACAGCCCCCAAAATGGCCAAAAAAGCCCAAAAAACAGATATGCGCTCACCGACCAGCTGCTTTTTGGTTTTCTGGTGCTCCGGCACACACACCTGCACCTGTATGCACACGTGTTCGGCACTTGGTGCCGAAAATGTTCGCCATCACTGTTACAGATGTATCATAAATACATTAAAGGATCCAGGTAGACCTCGCATCTCTAGATTGCTCAATTTTCAAGCACTTGTTAACTATTCCACATAGTTGTATCATTTATGGCTTTCATCACATTCAAACATTGAAGTCACACTTTTAGATTTACTGTGTATTTATTCCATTTCTTTATGCTTAAACCATGTATTCAAAGCAAACCTTTTTAAAAGTAGATATTCACCAAGATATTTCTAAATGGCTCAGTCACTTCTTTTTACTTCCATTTCTCATCCATTTATTCACATCACCAAATAGAATGTTTCCTGTTGATTGCATTATTAACTCAGTATTACACATTGTTTTCAAAATTTTTCCTCTAAATCTTCAAGTAAACCCATTCCTGGGATCAAAACATGGATCAATCCAAAATCATCCAATTGATACACTTCGACATATCTTTTAATTCATAACTCTTCCTACATCTCTGCTTTCCTGTCTGTATTCAGCTTCACTCCACAAAATTAACTATCTTCAATTCAGATCTATTGTATCCTTCCTCTTCCTTCTTGTTTCACATATCCACAATGTATCAATTTTTAAATTTTATTTTATGGATTAACTCATATTTCTCCCATATTCCAGATTGCAGCATTCCATACTAAGATTAAGGACCAATGAGCTTTAATATATTTTAGTTCCAGCTATTTTAAAGAAGATATAGGATAACCATGTTGGCAGAGTCAATAAAATTAAGAAATGTGACACTTCATTTTTTCAAGGTCAAGTTGCTGCCATTTGTTGTGGCAAACATATTTACCACAAGGCATTTTGGTGGTGGGGGAATGTTATTGAGGATCATGAGTCAGAATCTAGTTAATCCACTTGTTGCCTTTGTTGTTTTCAGGTCATTTGTTGATGTACCAGCGTTGGAATGGTAGGGAAGGAACCTAGAATAGCTGGAAAAATCTGAACAGCTCTAATTATTTGCAAAGGTATGATATTGAACTACTAAACTACTTCAATCATTCAGCTCAACACTGGCATGCCTCTGCGGTAATGACCTATAGCTACAGTACTTAAACGTTACTATTTTTTTTAGTTAGTTTAGTTTTCACTGGCTATCGCATACATATAACAAGAATACCCAGTTCCTTTTCTATTAAATAAATACCAAACCGAGCCTTGCTGATCTTAGATTTGTGCCTTTTATTTTTCCTGTCTAGATGCTGTTAAATTCCATTCTATTCAGCCCATAGCTCAAGTCAGTCTGGAACACTTTACAATTTCTCATAAGTATTTAGCCAGACTTCCCAGCTTAGTGTCAATTGCAGACTTGCTACACATCCATCAACCCTGCCATTCAAATCATTGATAAAGAAGTCGAATAGCACGGAATCCACAACTTGGAGTCCTGGGGACCCTATTCAGTTCTTCAAGCCAAGCCAAAAATGGAGCTAATAAAGAGCACTTTGGGTGTCTCATTCAGCAGATTGTGAAACAATCTGTCATACTTTACTGTATTATTAAGAAGAATATTACGAGAATCCTTTATAGCAAGCAAAAGACACCCATGTGCCCTGACTGTATCTGCCAAATGGACATGCTGGTGATGGACTTCAAATAAATACTTAAAAAGCAGCTGACAAGAATTTTGATGAATAACCTAAAATCTCAATAACTTAACTGCTCTATGCAGTGGCCTCTCTGGGGAAATGATGAGCATCTCATTAACTGAGTCATTTAAAGTTAGATTGGACAACACACTGGAAAAAACTGCCGTGGTAATAGCAACTTTAGCTCTTGGGTTGGTACATTTGTAGCTTCAAGATACTAAATAAACATTAGCTCATTGTCCTTGCCTGAAAGGGTGAGTAAATGTTATTTATTATGATAACTTTATTGTCTTGTTTTTATAAAAAGGGGGAGAGTGGGTTATGTAGCTTAGCCCTTCATTGTTCCAGGGCACAAAGAAATACCAAAGCAGTAGCTAAGCTTTTTAATGGTTTTCCAGCCTGTTTATTAGATTAACTGCCTATACAGAGGATCCCAAGGAATAGGGATGTGAAGATCATTTATATGTTTGGGCCCACGATCTGTTTAACAAAATATTATCGGCACTCGCTCTAGTCTAGGTGATTCCCCAGTATCTTACTTTTTCGTGGAGATCCCTGTGATTAGTTTAATAGTAAGTTTAATTAGTAGTAGGGATTCATTAAGATGGGAGGAAAGGAGGGTCAGGTCTTGCCTCTGACTCATCAGAAGTATTTCTGGACCATCTACTGGAACTGTGGTCCTTGTTTGTCAGATCTTTTGCCGAAGGAAAAACTGAATGAACTGGTCCTCCTGCTGACGAAGTCACTTTTGAACTCACTTGAAAGAAGCAGCATTTGAAATGAACTGAAAAATAATTACAGTATTACATAACTGAAAGAAAGTGGAATGTCATCTAGTGTAACATTTGCTGAACCCACCCAGATGCGGACTGTATGAGGGCCTTCTCTGTCATTCCTTTTGGGTTACCCAGTATGGGAAAACCAAAATGTTACAGGGATAGGAGAGAGATTAAAGAGCAGCACTGCTACTCACCCCTTGTAACATTTCAATGGTTTTACTATTATTATTGATAGTAATATTGATAGTAATAGCAGTGGGCTATTACGCAACTCACTATACTGAATGAATTCCCTTATCCTACCAAAACAGTAGACAAATACAACCCACCATATCAAAATTTCAAGATATGTGTTTTAAAATAAATTTATTTTTTAAATAAGGTGGGGAATTTAAAAAAAAAAAAATCGAAATGCTTATTTAATTTTTAAATTACTTTTTGAGCTAACTCTTCAAGTTTAGATACCTAATTCTGCCTGTGGTTGTTTTACCTCTATCTTTTTTGTTTCTTTTTAAACATGTACGTACAAATTAATATATCACACTAGTTATGGTAGGACACAAAATTGGTGGTTTAAGTGTAACCGTTTTCTCAGGCCAAATATGTAGCTTTTCTTTTTAAAGATGCCAATTGTAATTTTTATTTTGGAACAATACCCATGAAATAGATGTGCGGTGATGAGAATCTGTGTAATTCTACTTAATGCAAATTAAGGCCACATAACATTTTATAGCAGAAAGTTGCAAAGAATCCTTTTATAACCAGTGATGCTACTCCGTTCAAGCTGCTTTTGCTTACAAATACTGCATTCTTCCTTTTATGTTCCAAGCTATTTCCCGGAAAACATTTTTAAAGATATTTTTTTAAACTCATTTTTATTTATATGGTTGCTATGGAATTTGGTTGAACTGCATGCAGATGCAGATTGTGTTAACAAGGGGGGGGGGAGAGGAACTGTGTATTCCAGCGAACAAAGATTAGTCTGTGTTTGTATTAGAATGTTGCTATGGAAGAGCATATGGTTTTATTTCATGAAGATTTGCAATGAAGTGGAAGGAAATCGGCATACAAGAGAAACTGATAAGAAATGACCATAAATGCCACAGTATGTCAATGTACAAATTGATTGCTTGGACACGGATGATAAAGTAAAGAAAACATCATTTGGATTAGGTAGACTGTTTTTCTGCTGAATTGTATGATTGGGTAACCAGCCTTTTAATTCTGCCTTGCCCAATACATTAGAAATGGCTTCTTTTGTAATATTGTGGTAGTTGAGATCAACAGTTCCCATATTAACCATTTAAGCTGAAGACCCTGGTTGTGTTGGGTCCAACATGCTTTTTCTTGCCATTTCACAGTGAAAAGTTAACATCCTTACTACTATAAAATTATTCCGCCCCTTCCAACACTTCACAGTGAAAAGTTAACATCCTTACTACTATAAAATTATTCCGCCCCTTCCAACACAATGTTCTCCTGTAGAAGCACACAAGAACGCAGGTACTCCTGCCTAATGATTAATACTATAGGAGGCCATTGAAGTTGCCACTTTCTATTAATAGACAGAGTGTACTATTGTCTATATAATGCTAAGTCAGATGTTTGTTGAACTATGAGACATTGGCAACCTTCCAAGTCTGCTTTCTTCTGAATGGTAATTGAACCAGAGACATTTCTATTCTGCAAGTTATCTTTATAGCGGGACCTGTTGAGTAACACACACACACACACACTTGCTCAATGTACTTTTTGATTAAAACAACATAAGCTAATTTATGAATGTTTATCATAATTTATGAATTGCTTATACTAAGATGCAAATCCTATTTATTAATTCCCTCATAAGCATCAACAGCAGATTTCTGGGAATTATCAGAATTCCCTTCATACTTTACTCTTTCTATGATAAGATTCTGTATATTTCTTAGTCAATAAGCATATTCTCCAAGTGATGCTGGAAGAAGGTAGTCATAACTATGAGGTTTCACACATTGTTCAGGCAATGTTAGAATTAGAATTCTTTTATTGGCCAAGTGTGA